GACAAACAAAGCGAGAGCTTTAAAAGCCCTCTTGGGGCACTGCAAGTGGAAGTTGCAAGATTATGCTTCCAGATGGCTCCATACATACAGGACCATGCATATGTCTGGATGCACCCCGCTTCTGGCCTGTTTGAGAGGATGCTGTAGGTGAATTTTAAAATCTAGCTAAGATAAACCTCATAATTACTTGTAGGTATTTGTCTCTTCTTTCGAAATGTGTAACTACAAACCATACAAGACAAAGAAATTAGGGACCAAGCAGGGCAGGCTGCACAGCTTTAACTGCTCTGGGAAACTACTTCTGATCCCGCCAAACCACCCAGTGGTCCCAGACACCCGCCCTCCACGCACATCGAAGAGGCTGAGAATAGAGAGCACGTTTCAGGTGGTTTTGCCTTCAGTTTTGCTTGTCATATTATGTTTTGAAAACACATTTTTACCTCCTTAAGCAACAGAAAAAAAAGTAGATACACTACTGCATAGTGATTCTTTGTTCTTGGGGATTTAGTCTACTTTATGGCTGTGTTCATTACATATTAGAAAACCCAGGCCAAATAGTACCAGAAGTCCTCCCCCAAGGTAACATTTACATTTACTTCAAAAGGCCTCCCTGCAGAAGAAAATGCAGCTTTTTTTTTTTTTTAAACCTTTAACTGTTTTGTAAGAAATCTACTGTACCAAACCACCACCATTTTGGGTTCTGAATATTTTTGCCTGGTACAAAGGAAGCTAAATGCAAGTCTTGGTACAGCCGAGGCAGGGACCTGGGCCTGGTCTTTCACCCATAGTCCTGCCCAAAACAGGGTATGGCTGAGTTGGAGAACTTTGCAGAGAACAGGGAAGAACAGCACTTTCTGTCCATAAGGTTGTCGGAATGCATGCATCGATTAAAAAGGTTTTAAAAGAGCTTGCTTTCTGTAGTGAGCAGATTTCGGAGATCTTTGTGCAGACATACCGGGTTCATTTTCACCTGCCTGCCCACACCACAACAGAAAAATTTCATGTGAGAATCCCACCCCTAGGACACCCAGATCTCATCCTTACCACCACACTGGCAGCACACGCATGGAGCAGCTCAGGTGCACGTTGAACATGGGATTTTTGGACAACTAGCACCCTACCCACTTAGAGGAGCATGCAAGGTACCAGCTGGGGTCTGCTTTACACCCAAAAACTTCCTGCTAAAACCATTTTACAAAGTCTTAATACCTTTGACGAAATCAAAGGTCAGGAAAAAGAGGGGAAATAACCAAGAAAACCCGTAAAAAAAAATTCCCAGCCTCATAATAGTACTATCCGCAGGCTGAATTCAAAATTTTGACCTAGCAAGCTTAATAGCATACTATTAAAACAATTTTTCCCCCAGTTTTCTTTCACCTTTGGACACAGATAAGCAGCATGACTGTGCCAGAGCAAGATGCAAGAGTCTTACAAGACGAGTGAAGCACCTAAATGCAAATAAATGCATTGGTCTTAAATGAAGCCTCATGCTGTACCTTCCTCAAGACATGCTGAACATAATTTCAGTTTAATATTCTGTTTCTCATTATGGGCCTTGGAGACTCTCTCAAGCACCATGAAAAGCAATATTAACCCAGCCCTCAGCACTGGGGGCAATCCAGCCAAATTATTCATGCTGGTCTTTTGCTTCGATTTTTGTAGTCTTAACTTAATGTTCTTAAACAAATCTGAAAGGAGGATGGCTGACAAATAGTACAGACTTTACTTAAGACATTATAGTCGGCCATGTTCTGCAGCCTTGAGTCATTAAGCTAAAAACCCGTGCTGAAGCCAAGGGGAGTTTCATCCGAGCTGGGCGTAAAGGCTGCAGCCCTGACACAGAGCTCGTGGTAGTCACAGCCAAGCACTGAGAAGCAAGACGTTAAAAAAGAAAAAACAGAAACAAAAAAGGAGGTGAGGGAAAAGGAATAAAAAAAAAAAAAAAAGGAAGGGGGGTGTGGGGGGAAAACACCCCCCCACACTCTCCTCTCTTTGTAATCCACCTATAGAGATTAGCCTCAAATCCTCATTTCAGACACAGGGGAAAGATAAGAAATGATTTATTTGCAGTTGTTAGCATTTTCCTACAGATCTTCAGGGCAGCAGAACAGATTTGAAGACGAAAAACTGGCATAGGTACACTTGGCAGGTAGACAAGACACAGCAATGTGGTTGGAGAACCAGTTTCCATCCCTATACGTTACACTCACACAGGAACATCAGCGTGCCCATGAAATATCCCTCATTGTTCCATAAAAAGATTAATCGTGTTTTCATGTATACAGAAATGGGTGTAGAGCCTCATGTAAGAGCAGCCAGGTCCCAGGTGCTGTGGGCAGGCACAGCAGTGACAAACTAGGACACCAGAGAAGCCTGACACATCCCAGGCCAACTGGCATCTGCAGCCACTTCAGCTCCCCTGAATGCCGTTACCCGCTCTAACTTTATTTACCAAAAATAAGACCATTTTTACTCCACAGAATGAATGTGGCCTGGGGCGGATGCCAGGAAAAAGGATGGAAAAAGCTGCCCCTTATTTATTTATTTTAACAGAACAAGGCAAAACAGTTTGCTGCTAGAAATAAACATTAAACCTTGCAGAAACTCACCCATCCACCCCCCAAAACCCCACTGCTCCCCCCCTCACTCCCTCCTCCTCCTCTCCCTCCAACATTGTAAGTAGCACAAAAGATCACATTACAAATGCCAGCTGTGGCTCTTTTGGAAGGTGGCCTCCATCTCGGATGTAGTATATGTTCCTCACGGCCTAAGTGGTTGCTATGGTAAATATGCTTTTTATTGAATAGCAGAGTGAAACAGCTTTTAAAGAGACCCATAAGAACCCCATAAATGATCAAAATACAAGGCAGATCAACCTCAGCCTCCCTGGAAACAGGTTTCTCTTTATTTTCCAAAATGATCATGATTTTTGATTCCCCTTGTTTTGTTTGCTTGTGTTGTCCACTCGCCTCCACCTCGCCCACACCCAGGTGGAGGGGCTGGAGAGGGCCAGGGGAGCTGGGACCCCAATCAGCCCCCCAGCCCAATGAGCTGCTTTGGCTTTTACAGGCAAGCACTTGCTCTCCTGCGTGGCAGGAGGCTTCAGGGACAGCGAATGCTCAGCACTGCTAAGCACAGGTGATCCCCAGCGAAGCTACCTGCCAAACCCAGCCTGCCCTCCCCAGCAAAACCCCGGCCTCCCCCCCCCAGAGAAGCTCCCCGCCAACCCCAGCCTGCCCTCCCCAGAGAAGCTACCCACCGAACCCAGCCTGCCCTCCCCAGAGAAGCTACCCACCAAACCCAGCCTGCCCTCCCCAGAGAAGCTACCCACCGAACCCAGCCTGCCCTCCCAGGCTGCAACCAGCCAGGAGAAGCCTCCGGGCTCCCTCGCCATTGCCCCCCGCAAGCCCGATGCTGCTCTGCCACACTGGTCCCAGAGCCCCAGGAGGGCTCCCGTCCCCATTCTGGCCCTCCAGCACAGCAGCAAAAAAAAAGAATTAAAATAAGGAAGTTACTTTGGTTCATTTCTTATTAAGAATAAGATGAGAGCAGGTTTTGGTGGCTGTGGATTTCTAAATAACCAGCCAAACATCTTTTCTTTGATCTCTTCCTCCAGTGGCAGTCCAAGTGGACGGGAAGAAAAAGCAAAGTCATTCTGAAAAAGTGAAGCAACAAGCGCTAGGTATCGACTAAGCAAATACCAGTCCTGTGCCCATCGCTCTCTGTGTTACTGAGGGATGGCTTAGAAGCTACGGACTCCAGAAGACAGGAAACCTTTTTTCTTTTTAAATTAAAAACTAAGACATAGCAAAGGACTGAAACTTCTTAAGTTAAAGAAACAACAATAGAATAAGAAGATCCTCAAAAATGTTTACTATGATTTTAGATTTCTAACAAAACGAACGTGCGCCTTGAATGATCTACCAGCTACATCAGCTTTAGACTGTGCAACAAAAGATAAAGAACGAGCAATGTTTCTTTTCCCGGGATTCACCTTATCATCCATTGGTTATGAAAAAGTTTTAAAAAGAAAAATAATGTAAAACTTGATGATAAAGTATTTCAGAAGAAATATTCTTCTCCAGAGCTAAGTTTCCCAGATGAACGCTCAAAGCTGAAATGCTCCGTAACATCAGATGGCCCTGACACCGGCTATGGGCGAGGATGGGCCAATGCGCTCTGCCCCTCTTGCGTAACACTGCATAAATTAACAGTTCCCTTTTCGACCTCCGTGGATGCTATTTTAGAAAGTCAAATAAAACCCCAAACCCCTCTCATGCAAATTTGTATTGAACATTTCAAACGCAACATTGTTTTTACAATAGAAGCAAGAAAATTTAACAGAGAACTGAAAATTTAACTGAGAAGTTAATTTTAAAAAAAAAAAGCTATTTTTAGCAGTATTACTTATTATAAAGAGAATTTTATATTTTGCTAAGTAGTCAACAGTTGATAACACTTTTTATACTAAATGAGAAGTCATCACAACACAAAGGGACATGGGCTCTGTTGGGCTTGGCTCTGTTGAGCCTTCACCCAGGTAAAATGCTGACCAACTCTCACAAACTTTCATTCAAGATTTTGCAATACAAAGATATATTTTTTTAGTAAAGGCCATAGAACAGGCTTGGGTTTTATTATTTTTGTGCTTTCCAAAAGTGTCTCTTCATTCTCTTCAGTTCAACATTGTCAGATCTGTAACCCAGCCTGACTGGACTTCACTGCCACTAAGTAATTCTGCAGTGTGCATATTTAGAGCATTTTTCAACTCTCTGCTCTCCTACAAGGCACATGAATGATAATTTCATAAACAGCCCAGCAATAGCAAATGTGTTCCCTCCTTTTACCATGGGCTCGTTAGGGTTTTTGTTTGGTTTGAAGTATTTCTCTTTTGGTTTGTGTAAAAGAAAACTGATGACAACCAATGCTATTAATGTCAAATGCCTTTTTTAAAAAAAAAAAAAAAAACAAAGGAAGAACATCTTTCTGCGTTTACTTACAACAATGTGTGCTGGAGATGGAGACCTAGCATCCTTGAGGGCTTGTCTACTCTGAAGGCTCCCTGCCTGAACATCAAGCAGTGGAAGGAAGAACATCTTTCTGCGTTTACTTACAACAATGTGTGCTGGAGATGGAGACCTAGCATCCTTGAGGGCTTGTCTACTCTGAAGGCTCCCTGCCTGAACATCAAGCAGTGGCCATTTCATCTGCAGATACTGGATGGAGGAAACAAAAATGGGGAAAGAAAAATGAGTTCAGAAAAGAAAGGCAAAAAAAATAACAAATCTTAGGTAACATGGGTAAAAAGATATAAATTAAAACTTATGCAAGGAACTGAAACAAAAATTAAGACGACTTTGCATGTTTGTGGAGACAAGATCTGTGCAGAACACGTAGCAATTTCATACCAGCACGTTACAGTTCAGGAATAAGAAAATAAAGCAGATTGCAAAGACAGTGTTACATTGACTATATTAATCGTAGCAAATCTAGAAGAAGAATAAAACCCACACAGAAGCAAAATACCAAAACCATGGAGAGGATGGGACAAAGTAGGGGAAGGGGGATTATCAGCCTCAGGAGAGGGGAAAACATGTATCGTGGCTTAAGAGTATGATCTCATTATTTAATGGGTCATCTGTCAGCCTTCTTTCAACAAATGCACCACGTCAACTCCTCCAGCTTCCCAGCACTGTATGAGCCCTAAAGGCAGAGGTCTACCACACAAAGACCCAGCGCTGCTGGGTCTTAGCACCTATTTTCCCTACTTTTCACTGTTTCTGGAAGTCATCACGGGTTATTTTGCTCTTGCTCATCATCACCAGGAGAGAAACTTTACGTGGGACAACCTTTAGCGGACTTGCACAGGATAACTTATTCAATTACAAGGCCAAACTTACTAAGCTCTCCAGCTGATCAAGTCCAAGACAGAATACAGCCTGGTGCACTCGAGCTCAGCTGGGCTGGCCAAGGCGCTCGGGGGTAGCCACCGCTTCTTTATGTCACTGTCACCAGCAGATAGGCTGAATACACGCAGGCAGCGAGTCTGCAGTGTAAGGAGGTGTCGATTCAAAAGCAAAAAAAGCTTAACTACACTTCAAGGAGAAGCAGAATGTTCCCACGGATTTAACCAGCATCAAATATTGACTAAAACTTCTGCTCTTGGGCATGCATGTCCTCTCACTAAACTCACAGGAGGAACCACTGCACCGCAGCCGAATTGCACAGCGGAGCTCAAGGCTTCCACCAAATAGGTGAAGTCTTGAGCTGGTACCCAGGCTGCTGTATCAGAAGTGCTCAATTCTGATCAAGAGCAGCCCCACAGAGAAATTAGTCAGCCCAAACAGACTTCTGCGCAGTACACCTAAATATAGTTTGAGCCCAAGCTTCCCTCTCTGCATGGTGCTACACTGTGCCAATTAGGCGTACTGGTTAATACGTGATCTCCAAAAGCCCTATATCATGCTGGAAGAAATGCATACTGCCACATACCTTCAGCCCCCTCCCAGAACTAAGAAAAGCAGCTGTACGCGTAGATCAGGCCACTGCAGAAGATCCTATTTAGCACTAGACTCTGGTTGACCTAACAGATCTATTCCTAGAAACATCTAGAGAAATAGTTACGTTTACCCATTCCATTCTTTTTTTTTTTTTTTTTTTTTAAAAACA